GACACTTTTTTTTAGGGGAGGGCGAGAGAAAGAGGGAGAGTAAGAATTTTAAACAGGTTCCACACCCAGCGTGGAGCTGGACACATGGCTGGATCTCACAATCCTGAGATCATGACCTAAGGTGAAATCAAGAGTCGGATACTGGGGGCGCCTGGGTGCTCAGTCAGTTGGGCGTCTGCTGCCTTCGGCTCAGGTCATGATCTCAGGGTCCTGGGACTGAGCCCTGCATCCTGGCTCCCTGCTCAGCGGGGAGCCTGCTTCTCTCTCTCCTTCTGCCGCTCCTCCTGCTTGTGCTCTCTCACTCTCTCTCTGTCAAGTAAATAAATAAATAAAATCTTTAAAAAAAAGAGAGAGAGAGAGAGAGAAAGACACTTAACTGACTGAACCACCCAGGCATCCCTGTATAATCATGTGTTTAAAAGTATTATTTTGTGGGGTATATTTTTACCTGTTTTTTTGGCAGCACTCAAGACTAATTATAGAAAGAAAAGCATTAAAGCATATAATTCCTGAACTTGATGAAAGGAAAAAAATGCTTAACAAGTTTGTCTAGATTTATTCAAAATATTTTTGAAGATGTTTGGGACTATTAAAGGGTTTAGAAGGTGAATTCTTGTTTAGACTAGGTGGAGCATTACTTTCACGTGTTAATTTTTTTAAGCGAAGCTATATTTGAAGGTTTTAATTTCTAAATTATATAAATTGATATTTTGCTGTGTCATTGGAAACATTTTATATGTCCTATCTTGAACAATATTTCGGTTATAATTAGACTGTGAGCTCCTTGAGATTAGGGAACCTGGCTAGGCTCCAGCCAAGCCCAGTAATATGTTTGTTGAATTAAGTTGTAGTAAAGCAGCAAGAAGGGCACAGTTTGAGAATTTCCAAAAAAAAAATTTTTTTTAAGATCTTATTTATTTATTTGACAGACAGAGATCACAGGCAGGCAGAGAGGCAGGCAGAAAGAGAGGAAGGGAAGCAGGCTCCCCGCTGAGCAGAGAGCCCAACGTTGGGCTCGATCCCAGGACCCTGGGATCATGACCGGAGCCGAAGGGAGAGGCTTTAACCCACTGAGCCACCCAGGCGTCCCTTCCAAAATATTTTTATCTATTTTTTTCATTATGAAAAATTTCTGACATAACTGAAATTATTGAAAGGTAGTATAATGGTTATCGTCTACCCTCCACCCAGATTCAACAGTTGCTTGCATTTTGCTGCATTTTAAAAGTCTCATTTTTGGGCGCCTGGGTGGCTCAGTGGGTTAGGCCTCTGCCTTCGGCTCAGGTCGTGGTCCCCGGGTCCTGGGGTCGAGCCCCGCATCGGGCTCTCTGCTCGGCGGGGAGCCTGCTTCCCTTTCTCTCTCTCTACCTGCCTCTCGGCCTACTTGTGATCTCTCTCTCTGTCAAATAAATAAATAAAAAATTAAAAAAAAAAAAAGTCTCATTTTTTTGCTGAACCATGTACAAGTAAGTTGCAGATCCTAACACTACTTCTACATACTTGAGCATATGTCTCTTAAAAATATGATATTCTCCTAAGTAACCACAGGATTTGTGAGTCATTCTTGTAGAGATCGGGGTAATAATAATGGTGTACTGGCTCTGTCATCTCTCACTTGTGTGGTCCTGGGCAAATTACTTCATATCCCTGAGCCTCAGTTTCCTTAGCTGCAGAGCACTTATCTCAGAGGAATATTATGAAGATGAAGTGTGTAAAGGCACCATTTTCAGTATTTTCCCATACAGTACTCAACTGTGGTGAATTAATACCACACCCACCCTTATTCCCAGAGTTGGAAACTTTTACCTTTTTTTCCTCCCTCATTTGTTGTTAAAAAATCTTACATTTCTATCTTGTAACATTTCTCAAACCTGTCCTGTTCTTTCCATTGCCACCACATTTCCTGCCTGTCAACAATTTTAGTCTCTCTTCTGGTCCCATACTCACCTCCTCATCCTTTCCTTAAGGCTGCCAGAGTTTATGCTCCCAAATAAAAATTTAATCTTACTCATTTCCTGTTTAAAACTTTTCCCATCACCTACAGTATAAGGTCCAAGTTTCTTAATTCTGTCTTCTGTGTACCTTCTGTCTCTACAGCCTTATCTCTCATTATGTACATTCCCTCCCTTCCCCCACCTCACTGAACACACAGACACCATCCCCCAAACTGTAGCAAGCCATGGGTAGCTGTCTAAATTGTACTCTTTGTTACATACTTCTGTGCCTTTGCTTGGTTGAGTCCCCATATCTGGAATTGTACCCCACCCACCATCTTCTTTATCTCTAGCAAATACTCATTTTCTCAACCCCTTCCCCAGCTTGCCTTTTAAGACTAGGTGCCATACAGGTTCCTTCTCTTCCCCCTCCATCTACATTGTACAGTCTTCTAGCATAATTCCCATAACATTTTTGGACAGTCATTTGCTTGCATGTCTGCTTCATTCTGCTAGGTTAGAAAGTCCTTAAGGATACACAGGTTTTATCCCTTTTTTTATTCCTAGTACCTAATATATTGCTTGTACCAGGGATAAAATAAATATGGATATGGAGTCCGTATTTTATGGATGAAAAAAATCTGAGGTTCAGAGAATATTCTTTATGTGCCCAAAGTAACAGAACTAATTAATGAAACATTCAGATCTTTAAGAGCCCATTTCATTATTGTTGCCATTAATTGTAATACTTATAGTTCTTAGTCTGTGTACTTAGAGGCCCCTAGAGGATGTTAGAGTTCCCACATGGAAGTCTATAAAGTCATATATGAATTTTCGGTGAATTGAATTAATACGATTATATATGTCTGTATGTCACCGATTTTTCTTAATGTACCCACATGGTTTTGTTATTAACTTAACAGATCATTTTAGTGGACATACTTACATCTTTTTAAAAAAAATTTTTTTTATTTACTTGAGAGAGGGATGGGGAGGAGCAGAGGGAGAGGGGTGAGCAGACCCTCACACTGAGCACAGAGCCTGTCATGGGGCTTGATCCCATGACCTGAGCTGAAATCAAGAGTTGGATGCTCAATTGGCTGAGCCACCTAAGCGCCCATACTTTTATCTTTTGAGAGGAGAGAAGTATGAGGGCCTTCATGATACGGGTGATTTGGAATAAAGGCTTGACATAGTTTGCTAGGGAATTGATAAGGTGTAAGAAAGTTGTTTTTTTTTTTTTTTTTTTTAAAGATTTTTATTTATTTATTTGACAGACGGAGATCACAGAGAAGCAGGCAGAGAGAGAGGAGGAAGCAGGCTCCCTGCTGAGCAGACAGCCCGATGCCGGGCTCGATCCCAGGACCCTGGGATCATGACCTGAGCCGAAGGCAGAGGCTTTAACCCACTGAGCCACCCAGGCGCCCCAGAAAGTTGTTTTTTTAAAAAGATATGTTTATTTTAGAGAGAGAGAGAGAGAGAGATAGCACAGTTGGGAGGAGGGAGAGGGAGTCGCAAGCAGACTCTGAGCTGAGTACTGAGTCTGACTTGGGGCTCTATCGCATGATCCTGATATCATGATCTGAGCCAAAACCAAGAGCTGGGTGCTCAGCTGATCAACTGACAGCACCACCCAAGTGCCCCAAAAAAGTGGTTTTGAAAGCAGTAAGATTCAGGTTAGATGGTAAAATCTGAAATTTTCTTAGTCTTCAGTAATTCATTAAAATAAAGTTTAAAAATATCTAAAAACAGGAGTGCCTGGGTGGCCCAGTCAGTTAAGCATTTGCCTTCAGCTCAGATCATGTTGGACCTCTTAAAAAAAAAAAAAAAAGTGTGGTCTGGCAGGCATTCTAGGTTCACAGGTATAGCTTAAATAATAACGCTTTAAAATATGTGTGCTATTTCTATCAGTTTGTTTAACTACTAGATAAATAAGATTTGTGTGACTTCATTCATTCCTTTGGCAAATATTTGTTCAATTCTTGCTATGAACCAGGTGCTCTGCTCAGTGCTGAAATTGCAGCTGTGAGTAAATAAAACAGAGAAGCCATACTTCTCCCTGGTGGCCCTTACCTTTTAGTGGGGGAACCATACTCTAACCATAGTGAACATGCAAGTAGGTGTCTGTAGTATAATGCTAGACAGAGGCAAGTACTTTTTAAAAAGGCCAGAAAAGGGAATAGGAAGTGATAGTTTCTATTTTAGGAGTTACCTAAGAAGGCCTTTCTAAGTAGCCATTTGAACAGAGAGACCTGAGTTAAGTAAGGGTACTTGCCATGCAAAGATACCTGGAGGAACAGCCTTCCAGACAGAGGGATCATCAAATGCAGGAAGCTTTGAGGAAGGGGCATGCTTGGCCTCTTAAGCAAGGAAGCCAGTGCGTCTGGAGCTATGTGAGCAAGGGTAGAATGGTAGGAGATGAGGTTGGAGAAGTAGCCAGGGGCAGATCATGTAGGACCTTTAGATTTCATTCTAAATGTAATTTCATTCTAAAAATTGGATGGTTTCTAATAAGGAAATAGGGTGATCTAACTTAAGTTTAAAGGGTACTCTACGCTATGTAGAGAACAGACTCAAGTAGTACAAGAAAGGAAGCAGGGCGATCAGTTATGAAGTGGTGGTTATAGACCTTTGTTTGGGTGAGAGAGGATGATGGACATGGTGAGAAGTAGATTGGAAATGTATTTTGAAGATCAAGTCAACAGGTTAAGTTGACTGATGGCAGTGTAAAAGGGAGCAGTCAAAGAAACTCTAGTGCTAATAAATAGATACTAGACTTGAAGGAAATACACAAATTTTTACTGTGGCTGTCTTTGAGCAGTGGCCTTCTTACTAGGAGCTTTTTTTCCCCCCCCTTATCTGTATTTACCAGTTTTTCTATCCTGAACCTGTAATGCTTCTGCAAAAAATATATAGATTATTTTAAAATTAGAGTTAATCATAGTACTAAATGTACCCTAATTCTTAATGTATTCTCTTATCCCTTTTGATTTTGGAAAAACAGTCTAAGTTTTTAAACCTTTTTACTCTTAGTGATCGGCCTTTGTACCTTTTCCACATTTGAAGATGGTGAAGCTGGATATTCACACCTTGGCCCATCACCTTAAGCAGGAACGCTTATATGTGAACTCTGAGAAACAGCTCATTCAGAGGCTCAATGCAGATGTCCTTAAGACAGCCGAAAAGTTGTATCGTACAGCATGGATTGCTAAGCAACAGAGAATTAATTTGGATCGGCTTATCATAACCAGGTAAAAAAAATAGGTTTTGAGGCGTTTAATTTTTTCTGTGCTAACTATAAATAAATGAATCTATTTCCAACAAAGTGCATGCTTTCAGATAGTTTGAATCAACATTAAGGTGAGTCTTTGCCTATTTTGTCTGTTAATTAAGGCTTTTTTAGAGAATTATAACTTAAGCATTAATATTTTGTACCACACCAGTTAATTTTGTATCTTTGTATGATAACCTTTTATTTTACTGGGAGTAAATTATCTTGTGTTTTTTTTTAAGTAGGCTCCACACCCATTGTGGGGCTTGAACTCATGACCCTGAGATCAAGAGTCACATGCTCTACCCACTGAACCAGCCAGGTGCCCCTCTACTTTTCTATTATTATTATTATATTAAGATTAAAAAATTTTTTTTGAGTAATCTCTATACCCAACATGGGGCTCAAACTCACAACCCTGAGATCAAGGGTCATATGCTACACCAGTTCAGCGAGTCAGGCACCCCTTTTCTCCCGGTATTATTTAATACACAGTTGGCCCTTAAACACTGATTTGACCCTGTGGGTCCACTTATACATGGATTTTTTTCGATAGAGTACTATAAATGTATTTTTCTCTTATGATTTTCTTAACAATATTTTCTTTTGTTTAGCTTACTTTATTGTAAGAATACTGTATATAATACTTATATGAAATATGTGTTAATCGAGTATATTATATGTAAGGCTTCTGGTTAACAGAAGTCTATTAGCAGTTAAGTGGGGAGTCAAAAGTTATGCAAGGATTTTCCACTGCACAGGGAGGTCAGTGCGCCTAATCCCCACATTGTTCAAGGGTCAACTGTGTGTATTTCCATGTTTTGATTCTGTATATCTTCCTGTATATCTACCTCTCACGTTTAGAAACCTCTTTTTCACTGTGTTAATATCTTACTCTTTTGCTTCAGGAACCAGTTTTTAGCTCTAAGTGGTGGTGAGGTATAAATTTGAGAAAACGAGGCAGATGCAGAAAAGTATGATTCCATTTATGTGAAGCTGAAAAAAAGCAGGACTGATCTTTCATAACAGAAATCAGAATAATGGGTTTTTTTAATATTTTTTATTGAAGCTGATTAACTAGGAGGAATTTGTCCTCCTTTGTACTTTTTGGTTTTCGCCTTTCTTCACATGTTCAGATGCTGGTCGGCTGAAAGATTCGAGCAGTTGGGAGTGGTCTCGTTACTAGGACTATCATCAGTCTACATTTCCACGTTCCAGTGGTATCGTATTATTGTTACTGATTTTTATTGTTTTGCTTGTTTGCTCATTTTTTAGCGCTGAAGCTTCCCCTGCTGAATGTTGCCAACATGCCAAGATTTTGGAAGATACACAGTTTGTTGATGGATACAAGCAATTGGGGTTTCAGGAGACTGCTTATGGAGAATTCTTGAGTCGATTAAGGGAAAATCCTCGTCTTATTGCCTCCTCGTTGGTTGCTGGGGAGAAACTGAATCAGGAGAACACACAAGGTGTTATATACACAGTTTTTACCTCCCTTTACGGCAACTGCATCATGCAAGAAGATGAAAGCTACCTCCTTCAGGTTTTGAGATACTTGATTGAATTTGAACTTAAAGAAAGTGACAACCCCAGGCGACTTTTGAGGAGAGGAACCTGTGCCTTCAGCATCTTATTTAAACTTTTTTCTGAAGGACTGTTTTCCGCCAAACTTTTCCTCACAGCCACTTTACATGAGCCGATCATGCAGCTGCTTGTTGAAGATGAAGACCACCTGGAGACGGATCCAAACAAGCTGATCGATAGGTTCTCCCCGTTACAACAGGAAAAGCTCTTCGGAGAGAAAGGCTCAGAGAGATTCAGGCAAAAGGTTCAAGAGATGGTGGATTCCAATGAGGCCAAACTGGTGGCTCTGGTGAACAAGTTTATTGGTTATCTCAAGCAGAACACGTACTGCTTTCCACATAGTTTGAGGTGGATTGTGTCACAGATGTACAAAACCCTCTCCTGTGTGGACAGACTGGAAGTTGGGGAGGTCAGGGCAATGTGTACTGATCTCCTCTTGGCCTGCTTCATTTGTCCTGCAGTTGTCAATCCAGAACAGTATGGAATAATTTCTGATGCTCCTATTAATGAAGTGGCAAGATTTAATCTGATGCAGGTACGCTTTTTAATGTGGCATTCAGTTGAAAGTTGAGTGAGTAGTGTGGTGTGAACAAAATATGATGGCAGTATGTTTACATTCTTACTATTCTGTTTCCTCAAACTGGCTTAAATATTTCTTTCTTTCTTTCTTTTTTTTTTTTTTAAGATTTTTATTTATTTGACAGTGACACAGCTTGAGAGGGAACACAGGCAGGAGGGAGTGGGAGAGGGAGAAGCAGGCTTCCCGCCGAGCAGGGATCCCGATGTGGGGCTCTGTCCCGGGAGCCTGGGATCATGACCTGAGCAGAAGGCAGACACTTAACCACTGAGCCCACCCAGATGCCCCTAAATATTTGCTTCTTAAGAAATAAAAGCAGTTATGGGGCACTTGGGTGGCTCAGTCAGTTGAGTGTCCCACTCTTGGTTTCAGCTCAGGTCGTGATCTCAGGGTTGTAGGATGGAGCCCTGCTTTGATCTCCAAGGTCTAATTCCACTCTAAGCGGGGCATCTGCTTGAGAGTCTCTCCCTTTGCCCTCCCCCCACCCCCTTGTGCACACACACACACACACACACTCTCTCTCTCTCTCTCTCTCTCAAATAAATTTAAAAAAAGAAAGAAAAGCAGTTAAATTGGGATTTAAAAATACCGTAGTCATGAATTTAAAATATTAGTTTTGGGGGCACCTGGGTGTCTCAGTCTGGTAAACATCTGCCTTTGGCTCAGGACATGATCCCTCAGGGTTGTAGGATCAAGCCCCGCATTGGACTCTCTGCTCTGCAGGGAGCCTGCTTCTCGCTGTCCCTCTGCCTGCTACTCCACTTGCTTGTGTTTGCGCTCTCTCTCTCTCTGCCAAACAAATACAGTCCTAAAAAATATATTTTGTTAGTTTTTCCTGTGTAAAGATTTATTTGTTTATTTTAAAGAGAAAGGGAGAGTGAGGGGAGGGGCAGGAGGAGAGAAATCCTCGAGCAGACTCCCCACTGAGCTTGGATCCCAATGTGGGGCCTGATCCCAGGACTCTGAGATCATGACCTGAGCCAAAACCAAAAGTCGGACTCCTAACCGACTGAGCCATCCAAGTGCCCCTTGTGTTAGTTTTTACTCTTTTCTTTTTTTTATTTGAGAAAGAGTGTGAGAGCACAAGTTGGGGGAGGAACAGAAGAAGAGGGAGAAGCAGACTTCCTATGGAGCAGGGAGCCTGCTGTGGGGCTCGATCCCGGGACTCTGAGGGCAGACACTTAACCAACTTAACTACCCAGGCACCCCTAGTTGATTAGATTTTCTAGAACAGGGCCATCATCCCTTTACCATGATTTCAAAACCAGGGTGATTGAAAATATTTATGCATTATCTTTTATACATTGTTTGGTAGCAAAACATGACCTAAACTAACATGAGACTGTTTATCACTGCTAGTTATTCCTTTTAGGGCTAATGAATACTCAGGTTTTGCTGCAGAAATGTGAATACATTTGATTACAGGATGCTTCCCTAATACTGCCTATGTTACATGTGTGTGCTAATCGACCTTTCTAAAATCTTTAAATTTTGAAATTGAAATTCTTCTGGTCCTCAGAGTTCCAGAAAGAGGAGTTTTGGATTTATGTTAGCAGTTTTTTCCCCTCTATCATGAGAACTACTGAAATCTTGTTATTTATTTATTTATTTATTTATTTATTTATTTATTTTTGAGAGGAGAACGGGGGAGGGGCAGAGGGAGGGGGTGAGAAAGAGAATCCTAAGCATGCTCCATGCCCAATGTAGAGCCTGACATAGGGCTGGATCTCACAACCCTAAGAGATATGAGATATGCCCTAAGCCGAAATCAAGAGTCGGATGCTTAACTAACTGAGCCACTCATGCACCTCCATGTTATTATTTCTTTTTTCTTTTTTAAAGATTTTATTTATTTTTATTTGAGAGAGAGCATGAGAGGGGAGAAGGCCAGAGGGAAAAACAGACTCCCCACAGAGTTTGAAGCCCAATGCGAGACTTGATCCTGGGACTCTGGAATTATGACCTGAGCCAAGGGCAGTCGCCCAACCAACTGAGTCACCCAGGCGTCCCATGTTATTATTTCTTAAGGGAATCTTTTAGTCATATCCTGTCCCCCAGAAATACTGTAAAGAAAAAACTGAGTTTATTTAGAATATATCTTTGGATGATTTTTTTTTTTTTTAATGATAAGCTTTTTTCCCCCATGGTCATTTCTGTTATGTTGTTATGTTTAGCAATTAACTATATAAAAATCCCTGAAGTAAAACTAAAAGATTTTTATCAGGGACGCCTGGGTGGCTCAGTTGGTTAAGCAGCTGCCTTCGGCTCAGGTCATGATCCCAGTGTCCTGGGATCGAGTCCCACATCGGGCTCCTTGCTCGTCGGGGAGCCTGCTTCTCCCTTTGCCTCTGCCCCATTCTGTCTGTCTGTGCTCGCTCTCTCTCCCTCTCTCTCTCTCTGACAAATAAATAAAATCTTAAAAAAAAAAAAAAAAAGATTTTTATCATCTATGAAACACTAAATTTATTCTTAATATAGTGTAGTTCTAGGTTTTTATTTTTATCATTCCAGTAGAGATTGAATCACTTATTGTCAAAATGAGTAAAAAAGGGAATTATACCAGATATTAAGATGATACTGTATGGTATTAGCTTTCCCCAAAGTGTCTTCAAAGAGAGTAGATTAGGGTCGCCTGGGTGGCTCAGTCGATAAGCGTCCAACTCTTAATTTTGGCTCAGGTCATTATCTTAGGTTTATGAGATGGAGCCCCATGTTGGGCTCCGTGCTGAGTGGGGAGTCTGCATGAGATTCTCTCTCTCCCTCTGTCCCTTCTGCCTCCTCTGCAATAAATAAATAAATAAATAAATCATAAGGAAAAAAGTAAGAGTAAATTAACAGTTCTCTTTTACCATTAAGGAACCTGCTGTGTGAATTAACATTTACTTTCCAAGCAGCTCTGTTCTGTAGGACTTTTTAAATCTAGAAAAAAAATTCTACCTTAAGTATTTTGTGAACTCTAAAGGGAAATGTACTTAATATTAACTTCAAGTAATTTGAATCAAGTTTTGCAAGTGAATTTTAAAATATCTAAATGTATGAAAAGTATAATATCAGAAAGGTGTTTTATTTTTATTTTATATCGTCAATGTAATGTTAAAGTAAAATTTTCTTTTGTCTATGACTCTTCATCTAAATATAGTAAAAGCTGATGTAGAGAAGATACACATTTAATTTGGGACCCTACTTTGCATGCCTGGTCAGGTGGTATAAATATTATTATGAAACAGCTTTTTAGACAAGAATGAAAGCACTTTCATAGAGAAGGATCTGTAAGTACCCATAGCCCACGTCTCCCGACCACTGCTCTGGGTTGCAGGTTGGCCGCCTTTTGCAGCAGTTGGCCATGACCGGCTCTGAAGAGGGAGATCCGCGGACAAAGAGCAGCCTTGGAAAATTTGACAAAGTAAGAAAACTATCTCGTGTGAAATACTGTTTCTAGAAAATATTCCCAGAGTATTAGTGAACTTAACTGTTGTCTTTATTAAGTCTTGTCCTTTAATTTATTGAGAATAAACTAAATATTCTTTTCAGATACGTTTAGTATAGCTATAGAGAATACAGTGTTGGATTAGTAGCATTTAAAGGAAGATGTCAGTAAAGATTACTAATTCTTACTTATTAAACTGTTGAGGAGATGTCACTCTAATGAGAGCCAAAGAGCTATTAAGATTATTTTATTTTAAAAATTTGATAAGGAGCCTGGCTTGCTCAGTTGGTAGAACATGCAATTCTTGATCTCGGGGTTGGAGTGCCAGTCCCACGTAGGATGCAGAGATTACTTTAAATATTTTATTTATTCATTTATTTATTTTAGAGAGAGGGAGCGTGCACATGCACGCAGGGGGAGGAGCAGAGAGAGAGGGAGGGGGAAAAAATTTCAAGCAGACTCTGTGCTAAGTGCAGAGCCCCACATGGGGCTCAATCCTATGACCTCAAGATCCTTACCAGAGCAGAAAGGAGGCGTCCGGTGAGCTGCCCAGGTTTCCTGGGTGTAGAGATTACTTTAAAAAAAAAAAAGTCTTACATAAATAAGGTTGCTCAGTTGGTTGAGTGTCTGACTCTTGGATTCTGTTTGGATCATGATCTCAGGGTCCTGAGATTGGCCCAGGTCAGGCTCTGCGCTCAGCTGGGAGTCTGCTTTAGATTCCCTCTTTGTCTCTCTCCTTCTGTCCCTCCCCACTGAGTGCGTGTGTGTGCTCGTGCATACACTCGCTCTCTCTACAATGGTTGAATAAATCTTTAAATAAATAGATAGTTTAGTTTAAAAAAAATCACTAAAGCAAATCAGTAATAATTATATAATTTTAAGTGTATTTCATAAATATGTTTTATGGCATTGTTCAGTTAAATTAGATTTTAATCATATTTGAGTAGGCTATATATTCAGCCTTATTTAAAATTCAGAGGTTATATAGTGAAATTCCACTTTACCTCTGATCTCTAACCTTTATTTCCTCCCCAGAAGGTTCTTGATGTTCTCAGTTTTTCATGTTTTCTTCAAGAGGTTTATATGTATACAAGCAAATTCTTACATATGTTTTCCCAGTCACCCCATCCGCCTCTTTTCACAAATGGTAGGGTAGTGTGGACTGTTCTGTTTCATGTTTGTTTCATGTACCAGAATTTCATGGAGACAATTCTGTGTCAATTCAAAAAGAATTTAATTTTTTCATTGTTGGGTTTAATATAATTTTCAAGAAGAAAAATTTTTTGTGTGCTTGTCTACCTTAATTAGAAATTTTGTTCCCTTATTTAGAAGGAAATATTTCATTGTGATCTTTTCCTGTTTAACAGAGCTGTGTTGCTGCTTTTCTTGATGTTGTGATTGGGGGCCGTGCAGTGGAGACCCCTCCAATGTCTTCCGTTAATCTTCTGGAAGGATTGAGCAGAACTGTGGTTTATATAACCTATAGTCAGCTTATTACTCTGGTAATGGCCTTATTCTTTAATAGGATTTTCTAAAAAGTCATTTATCTAAGCATGGGCAGAGTCATAGATGAGTACATTGTGTGAGAAATAGATACTGTGTTTGAAAAATTGATCTCACTAGCTAATGTCCTTTTACCTTTGCCAGGTGAATTTTATGAAGAGTGTGATGTCTGGAGATCAACTGAAAGAAGACAGGATGGCTCTTGACAATTTATTGGCAAACCTGCCCCAGGCAAAGCCGGGGAAAAGCAGCAGTTTGGAAATGACCCCGTATAATACTCCTCAGCTGTCTCCAGCAACCACTCCAGCAAATAAAAAGAATCGATTGCCTATAGGTAAAGAGCATTTCTCATATTCGGGCTTTCCCTTAAATTTAGTGTTTTTAATTGGCCTTTATTACCGCTCAGTGTTTTGGAATATGGTTTTAAACAATTTGGGAAAGCCTTTCTCTTTGCGTTTACTGATACCAGTACAATTTTTAAAAATTGTACCAGTTAGTTAAGGTTTATAAGTAGGTTTTAGCTTTATCTAGATGTACTTTTCACAATTAATTGAGATCATGCCACTACAGTATACTTTGTTCATATTTTAGTAACTTTTTTCGGAAAAATTGGAAGTGTCATTTGAAATATATAGCCCTGTCATTTCTTCAAAGTTCTAAATAATACAAGAAAATAATAACTTAGAGGTTTCTGTTGGTAAATATGAAAATGCAGTTACAATTTTTCTGTTGTTATTATTATTAATTATTTTTGTCAGGGAGCTAAGGTATATTTGTTATTTTATAAAACAAAGATTTCATTTTATTTTGTCAAGCTTATTTAAGAATTGGGTTTAATTACGTTTTATTCACTTAGTGAATATCTGTTATCTGTACACACACACACACACACGCACACACACACACACTGAACATTACCATGTACTCTGTACCAGAGTCTGGATGAGCACTTTATAGATGTTGTTTCATTTAATTCATGCAAAAAGAGTAGGTATAATCACTATCCTGAATGGGGGGGGGGTGCACCATGCTAGACACCGGGGATACAAAGACCATTAGGATATGCTGTTGCTCTGGTAGTTGCTGGTAGTCTAACTGGGGAGAATAAGAGGAGTCCAGTTGCCGTCATTATACTGTGTTTGATGGAGATAAGTATGCATGGAGGTTTATGGGGCACCCATGTTGGCTGGGTGGTGATGGTGTCAGGAGAAGATCCTGGAGACAGTGAAGCTTATACTTTTTTCTTGAAGGATGAGCAGGGGTTAGACAAAATAGACCAGAGAGGGAGAGAAAGAGTGTTTAAGCCAAGGGAACAATGTTTTAGTGCCAGTTTTTTAATGAAAATGGGGAGCTCAGCTCCAGTTAGTGAACATGAATAGTTACTTTATTTTACACATTTTGAAGAACGGGCTTTCATTTTTAAGCTTCTATGAGCTGATTTGTTAAGAACTGACAGTTTTTTAAAATTAATCCATCTTACATTTAACATAATATGGAATAGTATCATCAACAAAAATATGGCAACATGTTCTTCAAATCTTTGGCTTTCATCATCCCAAAATACCAGTTTTCAGGATTAAAAATAGAAAAGGATGAAGTTTGACACTCAGTGATTTTTAAAAAATATTTTAAAATTTATTTTAGAGAAAGAGGGAGTGGGAGCACACGAGCAAGGCAGGAGGCAGAGGGAGAGAGAGATAAGCAGAGTCCCCACTAAGTGTGGGGCCTGATATGGGGCTCGATTTTACAACCCTGAGATCATAACCTGAACCGAAATCAAGAGTTGGACATTTAACCTTCTAGCCACCCAGGTGCCCAACACACAGTTATTTTTAATGTTAGAGCTTGTTTGCACTTTTCTCTTTTTTAAAGATTATTTATTTATTTATTTGGGAGAGAGAGAGCATGGGAGGGGACAGGTCAGAGGGAGAAACAGACCCTCCACCGAGCAGGAAGCTTGATGTGGACTTGATCCCGGGACTCCCAAGATCATGACCTGAGCCGAAGGTAGTTGCTTAACCAACTGAGCCACCCGGTACCCATTTGTTTGCACTTTTTTGACATGAAGAATTAAATGATTTTTAGTAAATCAGAGATTTTTTTTCCCCTCCATTCTTCACCCCTGTTTGTTAGTTTTTTCATTTCTTGTTGTCTAGAAGTATCATTAAGTATGGGTATAATGAAAAGTAAATTTCAATTGTTTGCCCACTGTTAGTTCATATAGTCCTATGACCTGGTCATTGAATTTATTTCATATTTTTAAAAAATGTGTCCATTATTTCAGAGGGTTGATTTTCTTTCTGTTTAATGCTTTCGCAACCCAGGACAACAGTTAGCAGCCATCACTGCCTGGGATTCCTCAGCCACCAATCTTACTGCTCATATTACTCTAGTAACCCCATTTGGTGGGTAATAGGCTGTTCTTCCTCTTCTTATGTAACTTTCATTTAAAAAATAGTATATGAAAATGTGCTCCATGTGCATGTTGCTTTTGCTTTATGTAAATTGCTACATGAATTTTGGTTACTTGCATTTTTTATGAATTATAAGGTTTGTTGCTTAAGATTCATGTAGTTATTCATGAAGTGGAATTTAAGTTCCCAGTTCAGGAGAAGACAGTGCGTGAGGGTCAGCAAATAAAGGTGGGAGTGAGCCTGTGTTCAACTTTTGGAAATTGAAGTGTGCTCTGGATTTTGAAAGTAAGAGCGATTGATGAACAGATCTACAGCATTGTGTAGGGGACTCTTCATATTCCCTCTCATTTTTTTAAGATTTATTTACTAGAGAGAGAGAGAGAATGCATGCACACACAGGGGGGAAGGGCAGAGAGGAGAGGGAAAGAATCTCAAGCAGACTTTCCGATGAGCACGGAACTTGACATGGGGCTTAATCCCACAGTCCTGAAATCATGACCCGAGCCAAAACCAAGAAACCAAGAGTCAGAAGCTCAACCAACTGAGCCCCCGGGCATCCCAAGAGAATTCTTTGTATTTGTCTTCAAGTAGGTCAGCTTTCACTCAAAGTGAAGTTGAAAGACATTTGTTATTTATAGTGGTTTTGCTTTATTTCTGTACTTTTGATTATTTTGTACCGAAGTAGAATTTGTATTTGGGATTCCAGTTATACTGAATTTTATTGCCCTCTGAAAGAAATTTGAAACTTAGCACAGAAGACTTAAACTCATAGAGAAATTGCCAAACTATCTAAATCTTTCAGTATCCAAAAGTTCTTGTAAGGTGTGTGGGATGGTTATTTTAGAAAAAAAGTATTACTTGTTTTTACTTACAGGTAAAACTTGTTTTAAAAAAAAAAAAAACTTGTTTACTTACAGAAAAGAGCTCCCCCAAATAATTAGATTTTTCATTAATTTAGAATGTTTCTATAAAGCAGAAGGGAAACTTAATATTCAAACATAGGGAAGTCTTTTTTTCTGCATTTTTGGGAAGAGATTAGTACATTTCAGGAAAATCAGCGTGCTTTAAAAAACTGATTGTGATTTTGTCAGTGGTTGTCCAATGAGCATATATTACTTTATATGGCTTTCAGATTTCTATAGGAGATTTTCTGACGCTTATGAGTTCAGTGGCAGTTAAATCATAGGAGAAATAGTTGACGGTATCTTGATAAGAAATAAGGTAGTGCTCTTCTTGTCACCCCAAGTCTTAAGCTGAGAGATGTGTTTGCTGTTCCTGCAGGTGCGCTCGTCTGTGTGTCACTCACTGCCAGGTGCACATAGACTATTGTTTCTATCAGTTTTGAAGGAGAATCTATGTCACTCATTAGTAGAGTAACTGGGAAGATGTAGGGTTTTTTAAAAATTCATATTCTCCATTCTTTTTTTGTGCATGCGCAAATGTCCTAGAAGATACATTTTTGTATTTACTGTACCATTTTCTTCATCTTGTCTTGTTCTCTATATTATATTTGAAAATTTTTTTATTAGCAACTCGAAGTAGAAGCCGCACCAATGTGCTAATGGACTTACATATGGACCATGAAGGATCATCTCAAGAAACCATCCAGGAAGTACAGCCAGAAGAGGTGTTGGTCATTTCCTTAGGGACAGGTCCCCAGCTAACTCCAGGGATGATGTCAGAAAATGAGGTATGAATGTATTGTTACATTTAACTTAGAGCCATCAATATTAAGGAATTAGGTTCTTTTTTTTTTTTTTTTTCCTAATTCATGGTCTCTTGCTTCTATGAGTGCATTAAATGTCAAACTCCCTGTGAACAGTTCTGGGGGCCTTTCACATTAATGCATTGATAGCACAATAATTGGTGATTAGGGCTACACCGAAAGGAATTTTCCTCATAGTCTTGAAGAGACAGGAAGCGAGGAAATTGTAGTATGGAAATTGAAAAGACTTTTCCATTGACCTGTAGGAAATGTTTTTTTGTTTCTTTTCTTTCTGATGATATACTAGTGGTATTCCTGCTTTAAAGAGCCAGACATTCTTTAGAAATACTCTGTTTTTTGGTCGGTTAGAAAGAAATGGTAGACAGAATTGAAACGAAAACTAAGAAAAGAAAATATTTTGAAGAAATGGACTTGGGGTGTGGGCATCACTTTTAAGATATTTGTATACAGAAGAGCTTGGAACAGAGGCAAAAAGAATGAAGAAATCAAAAAGAAGCATCATTTTATATTCAACAGGGACTGCTTATTAGTCAAGAAAACCTATTCATGACCTGGGATAAAGGGACTAGTTACAGTGGTCAGTGAAGTGATGATAGTGGTTGGTACAGTGTTTGGAACTGTGGCATGACCCTTAGGAAAGAGTTCTGTCCAAGTCCAGAACTCTGTCCATAGACACACACACACACACACACACACACACACACACACACAAATGAACTGGCAAAAACTGTCAGAATCAACTTTTTAGGAATTCTAGAATGTAATAAACTTAAAACGTATGGGGAATGTTAGACAAGGAAAAGCAACTGCTGAATTTCAGTCAGGGAGATGTGGTGTTTTACCTTCCCTGCTTAACCTTCCCTGGGTTCCCAGCTCTGGCAGTCCTGAAGGCAGCAGCCTGCATTCCTGTGCAGGGAAATCTCTTCCTTGTGGTATGAGCCTTTTGTTTGCTGTTAATCTTACTATTCTCTAGGCCTTTAGATAGATTTTTTTCCTGAAGATTCTTTGTACATTGCTCACTATGAGTTTAAAGATCCAAGTTATCTTAAAAATACAAAATGTAAAATTTTACGTCTGCATTTAATTTCAAGCAGATAGGAAAATAATCCTATTTTTATTTATTTGTTTGAGTGGGAGGGTAGGGGAATGCGCAAAGGGAGAGAAAGAGAATCTTTTTTTAAAAAGATTTTATTTATTTGAGAGACAGAAAGCACAAGCAGGGGGAGGGGAGAAGGGCCAGAGGCAGAGGGAGAAGCAGACTCCTGCTGAACAGGGAGCCTGACATGGGGCTCGATTTTAGCACCCTGAGATCATGACCTGAGCCAAAGGTAGATGCTTAACTGACTGAGCCACCGAGTTGCCCCAGGAGCGAGAGAATCTTAAGCACTTGCCTCTACACCCAGCATAGAGCCGTGCATGGGGCTCCATCGCAGAGCTCAGAGCCCTGAGATCATGACCTGAGCCAAAATCAAGAGTCAGACACTTAACCCAATAAGCACCCAGACACCCCCAAATTACTCTGTTCTTAAGTGGCTTTTTTAAAAGCATCACATGAGGGGTGCCTGGGTGGCTCAGTGGGTTAAGCTGCTGCCTTCGGCTCAGGTCGTGATCTGAGGGTCCTGGGATCAAGTGCCGCATCAGGCTCTCTGCTCAGCAGGGAGCCTGCTTCCCTCTCTCTCTCTCTCTGCCTGCCTCTCTGCCTATTTGTGATCTCTCTGTCAAATAAATAAATAAAATCTTTAAAAAAAAAGCGCATCACATGAATAAAGGTACAGAGCCATTGAAAAACCCTTTAATTTACTCATTTAAATGCAGGGCCAAAATAGCACCTACAGGGTTTGGGGTTTCTTCTTCTTAAGTGAGGAGACTGTTCTTCATGTTCTGCCAACAACCTAGGATCCCAGTGGCTGTGATTTCGAGTTCCAGTGTGCTTAAAACATGCTGTTTGACTTTCAGCAAAGCACGGAGTTCTTCATTAGGTTGGAGATACATGTTTACAGCTGAGTTATGAGGCTTGTGTGGAGCGACAAAGTAATTCTGTTATTTGGAAGTCATCTAACAAGTAGAAACCTTGTAAAAAGGCCATCCACTCTAAGCTAGAGATAGCTGTGAAGGTACACTTCAGCTCCTGGTATGGACTTTGTGGCTGTGGATATGGTGATTGAGGCAAGGTTCAAACTGGATTGATTGAATTCTGGTGCCTACAAGATACTTTGTTCCTGTTTTCTTCCTGTGAAATCAGCTTATCGACTTTTTAAAAAATGTACTGCAATTTTAATGTCATTTTGCCAGAGAAAGAATGCTTTCTGTGCATCTTTTTAGATTTAATCCTCAACAGCTCCATGGTATGCATACTGTTACCATGACTCTTTTATAGATAAAGAAGCTTAAATCACTTACCCAAGACTACATAGTTGGCACATGGCAGAGCCAGAAGGATCGGCCTGCTGATTCCAAAGCCTTTTGATTCTTATGATCCTACACATTGCTCACGGATACCTGATTGCCAGAGATTTCAGTCTCTGATACCGGGTGATGGAAGGGCATAGGTTCACTTTTCTTTTAAAATTGATCTGCTTGGGGCGCCTGGGTGGCTCAGTGGGTTAAGCCTCTGCCTTCGGCTCAGGTCATGATCTCAGGGTCCTGGGATCGAGCCCCACATCGGGCTCTCTGCTCAGCAGGGAGCCTGCTTCCTCCTCTCTCTCTGCCTGCCTCTCTGCCTACTTGTGATCTCGGTCTGTCAAATAAATAAATAAAATCTTTAAAAAAAAATAAAATAAAAATTTAAGATTAAGAAGAACTTAAATATGCATTTGCTGTGTTCTGTTTTCATATCAGTAACCTCTCAGTTCTGATAAACCAATGGCGTTTTATTTTTCAGGTCCTAAACATGCAACTTTCAGATGGAGGACAAGGAGATGTCCCCGTCGATGAAAACAAACTCCACGGTAAACCTGATAAAACCTTGCGCTTTTCCCTCTGCAGTGATAATCTGGAAGGAATATCTGAAGGTGAAGGGTTACTTCATTCAAAGAGTTAATGTGATTCAAGTAATACTTTGTTTTGTGATCTTTAAAGGAGCCTTATAAATTATAATTATACCATCTGTTCCTCTCCCTGAGGAGAGTAATGAAGTTTTCCTCTAATGATCTTGAACAGTTGGCTGTAAGGATTGTTTCTGGAATAAACTAAGATTGCAAGAAAAAAATTTAAAAAGAAACAGATTGCAAAAGACCTTTGATCATATAAAATGGAGAAGATATAGGTCTTTATTGAGACTTGAAAAATGCCAAGTTTCTCTAGTATTAATGTATCCCAAAGCTTATGAAGCTCCTTTAGAGGGATAGAGTGCATGTCTAAATGGGAGAAATGGACTCACTAGTATTTTAGGATGTTGTGTATACCTTCAATGTTCTGTATTTCTTTATTCACACGCACATCTTTATGAAGCAGGAAGATACAATGGAAATGGGAATAACATTAGAAAATTAAAACTGTAGATTGCGTAGTGAGAATTTGTCATTTCATGTATGAGGACAAACTTTTTTTAATGAAGAAAGTTGAGTTTACTATCATTTTAAGCAAAATATAATTTTTCCTTTTTCTCTGACTTTTTAGAACAGAAGTAATGTACATTCATTCTAGAAAATGCAGAAATGAAATTGAATCATTATAATTTCACCGTTCTACTTTTTGGGGGCTTGAACTTATGACCCTGGGATCACGACCTGAGCTGAGATCAAGAGTTGGATGCCTGAGTCGCCCAGGCACCCGTACCATTCTATTAATAGCAGCATTTTGGTTTATTTATAGCAAGAGTAGGTTTATGTTGTTTTGTAACCCTTTTTTGTTTAACAGTCTAGCGGTGACACTTCCCTTTCTTAAATAACTTAGGTTCTTAATGGTTTTTTTCTTTAACTTCAAGTGGGCATAATTTATTTAAACATTCTTGTATGATTAAACATAAAGATTGTTTTTACTTTCCAAGCATTATAAAAAGCCCTTCGACAAGCAATGTTAGGTGAGTTTTTGAGTTATTTCCTAGGATAAATTCCTAGAAGCACAATTGCTGGCTTAAAGGGCATGTGTATTTTTAAGGTACAGATGCAGTATTAAAAGCACCCTGGGACACCTGGGTGGCTCAGTTGGTTAAGCATCCCACTCTTGATTTTGACTCAGGTCATGATTTCAGGGTTGTTAGATTGTGCCCCATATTAGGCTCCATGCTGGGCGTGGAGCCTTCTTGAGATTCTCTTTCCCTTGTTCTCTGCCCCTCTCCCACAATAAATAAAAAATATTAAAAAGCACCTTAGTAAAAATGAATACATGAATAAAAGCACCTTGGGGCACCTTGGTGGCTCAATTGGTTAAGCATCTGGCTCTTGATCTCAGCTGAGGTTATGATTGTGGGGTTGTGGGGTTGTGGTATCTGGCTCCCAGATGTGGGGCTCGATACCACAACCCCACATCTGGCTCCGTGCTCAGCGGGAGTCTCCTTGAGATTTTCTCTCTCTCCCTCTGCTTCTCCCTGTGCCCCATGCTTGCATACTTTCTCTCTCTAAAATAAATATATACATAGAAATAAATAAATACACCTTAATTAGTTTTCAGTCTGTTAACAAGGCATGAAAAGTTGCATGGTGGCTTGTGACTTTTAAAAAACGTACTCACAGTATAAACATTTCTCTAGGTCCGTCAAATCGCTCTAATTCGGTGTCCTCTCTAGACCTGGAAGGAGAGTCTGTATCAGAACTTGGAGCAGGACCTTCTGGGAGTAATGGAGTTGAAGCTCTCCAGCTATTAGAGCATGAACAAGGTAAAGTGAAGTTGAACACATTTGTTCAAGTAGCAAAGAATTTGCCTGGCTGCAGGATAAACTATATGTTTCCATGTAGGTTGGCTGTGTTTAGTAAAAGAATAAATGTAGGTTGCTTATATAACGACCAGAAAACTTGCATTTATTCATAATTCTTTCAGTTAAAAATGTTTAGTTGGGGGGTGCCTGGGTGGCTCAGTGGGTTAATAAGCCTCTGTCTTTGGCTCAAGTGATGATATCACCGTCCTGGGATCGAGCCCCGCATCAGGCTCTCTGCTCAGCAGGAAGCCTGCTTCTCCCTCTTTTTCTGCCTGCCTCTCTGCCTACTTGTGATCTGTCAAATAAATAAATAAAATCTTTAAAAAAAAATTTTAGTTGGTAAATGAATTATTTTAGGCTTAAGTTACATAGAATAATTAAAATGAATTGCTTGAATTCTATAATATTTGGCATTTCAATTCTGTAATACTGAAATTTTAAGGGATACAAAGATAAATACTTGGGGTTAAAGGCACTTGGAATAGGGAGAGGATGGTATACAAATGTCTGAAAGTGTTATAAAAGGGCCTTGGCGATTCTGAGTGGGAGATACAGGTGGTTAGAAGTGTAGGAAAAAACTTAGTGGAACAAAATGCTAGCCTTAAAGCCCAGCTCGCATTGCATTGGCAGAAACTAAAGATGGGGCATTCTAGGTGAAGGAATAGAATAGTACAAGCAGGTCAGGGAAGTGGGAAACCATAGTACTTAACTCAGGAACTGCCAAGTAGGGGAATGATGTGGGGTAAGGACTGAAAAGTAGAGGGATCCCTGTTGTGCTTTAGGAAGATGAATTTGAAAAAGTTCTTTGGATTTGTTGATTTAAAGATCACTGGTGGCCTTCAAGGGAGTGTTGATGGCGGATTGCAGATCAGCTGGGTCAGAGGCAATATTCTGAGACCTGAGTGCGCATAAAAATAACCTGGGAAACTGACCATTTCCCATGTCTCATTTCTAGGAATCCTTGTGCAGTTCATTTTCAGAAAGGAAAAGAGCATTGCCAGTTGGGATATGTGTAGCTTGAATAAAAGTAGTAGTATATTTTACTGGACTAGTTTGTCATATCAGTTAGGATTAAATTTTCTGCAAATAAGAAAGAAACCTAAAATAATCGCTTAAGACAGAAGTTGAAAGAATATCACTTAACAAGCCCTCTAGGTGATTCTGAGATTTTATTTATTTATTTGACAGACAGAGATCACAAGTAGGCAGAGAGTCAGGCAGAGAGAGAGGGGCAGAAGCAGGCTCCCCGCTGAGGAGAGAGCCCGACTCGGGGCTCGATCCCAGGACCCTGGGATCATGACCCGAGCCGAAGGCAGAGGCTTTAACCCACTGAGCCACCCAGGCGCCCCAACCCTCTAGGTGATTCTGATATAGGTGGTTGGTGTCTACATTTTGTGAACACGAGGTTAATAAATTGAGACAAATTACAGACTATTTTACTCATTAGTCAAGGGAAGAGAGAAAACTCTAGTATCAGGGGAATGTATTCAAGGCAAATGAAAAAAATATTTTTCTATCAGTTCATTATTGCCAGAGTAATTGCTATGTAACAAACCACCTCAAAACTTAGTAACTTAAAACAACAAACATTTATTTGTGATCTCAGGTCTGTGGGTCAGCTGGGTGGTTTGATTTTGACTAGACTGACTCATGTATTTGCAGTCACCAGTGCTTGGGAAGGGAGCTCTGCCAATCTTAGTTGGGGGACAGTTGTTCAGTGAGGAGGTGGCTGCTCTAGGATGACCTTTGCTTTGTTCCCTGTGGTCCCATCCACCAGTGGGCTAGCTTAAGCTTGTTCTCATGGCAGAACCAAAGGTGAAAAAGAGGGCAGAAGTTTATAAGGGTCTTTTGAGGTCTAGCCTTGGAACTGGCACACTTCTTTACTCTTTTGGCCAAAGCAAGTAACAAAGCCTGTGCAAATACATGGAGAAGAAAATATATCCCAGTTTTTTATGAGAATCACACTGCCCCAGTTAATCTATCAGAAATGGGGGTCCACATGCTGAGCTTTAGCTTTGTTCAGAGAGGGAAATAGTACATCTGTAGGGAGATAATTCAGGGCCTTGGTATTGCATGCTCAGTGTTCATGAGAAAATATGTATCTTTAAAGTTGATTTAAAAAAAAATAGCTGTGCTGCCATTTTTAAAGTGCGTAATTTTGTTTTTGATAGCTACAACACAAGATAATCTTGATGATAAGCTAAGGAAGTTTGAAATACGTGACATGATGGGACTGACAGATGACAGAGATATATCAGAAACAGTGAGTGAGACCTGGAGTACAGATGTCTTGGGAAGTGATTTTGACCCTAACATTGATGAAGATCGCTTACAAGAAATTGCAGGTAACTGCTGTTTAATTTCTCTGGAAGATTGCTGTTTAGGTATTAGGTATTAGGAAGTCCCTTATGGGCAGGGACTTCAGCCTCTGACAGACAGACTGGGAAGCTGAGATTACTGTATGTAACAAGACAGTTGTGTTTTTCTTTCTTTACCTAAATATAGGTAGTGTTTTTCCCTACCTGCATTTAACTCCCCCTTCCCTGCCAAAAAAGAAAAACAGTCTTCTGAATTAGCTTCTTGTTTTCAGGGCATAGTATACATTCTTATGATATTCTATTTGAGACTAAACACCTTACCTGAAGATGAAAATTCTTATAGATTATAGCCATAAAGTCTTTCAGAATATTATAGTACTGAGATTCTCTAAAACTTGAATTTAGTAGGGCACCTGGCTGGCTCAGTCAGTAGAACATGTGGCTCTTGATCTCAGGTGAGTTGAAGGCCTGTGTTGGTCATAGAGCTTACTTTAAAAAAAAAAAAAAAAAAAAAAAGAGAAAAGAATTTTCTTTTGGAAGGATTAATTCAGTTCCAAAAGAGTGACTATAGTTTTTTCTTTCTTTTTTTTAATGTCAAGTGTATTGAGGTTCAATTTACATACTTGAAAACTCACCGTCTTTAGGATACTGCAGTTCTGTGAGTTCTGAAAGATTTCATACAGTCCTATAAGCAGCATGTTCATTTTCACTTTAAATCATGGAACATTTCAGTCAAATCCAAGAGAGAAGATTGAACTCTATGTACCCGTCATTCAGCTTCAACTAGCACACGTATACACGTGGCCGGTTTTGTCTCATCTCTTTTTCCATTACCCTTTTACCCTATCCCCCTGTTATGTTTAGGCAAGTTCCAGATGTTATTTAATTTGTAATTATTTTATGATATATCTTTAAACGGTAACTTTCACCAGTAATCTTTTGCCAAAAGTTTCCTATGCACTACAGTAGAAATGTTCTTTTGTTAGGCATAATCAGACGTCGCGGAGCATCCTGAACTTGAGTATTTCTAACACGGGTGTATAATCATGTTTAATCCTTTCTATTTGTCTTTATAAGTAGTGTAAACAGATTTCTTCATTGGTTTTGCATTACTTTGTTTCAGGGGCCAAAGTAGTGTATTTCCTGGCAGAAAGCTGTTTGAGCAATGAGCTGTATTTGCAGTTGAATGTGTGCTACAGAGACGTGTATTTTCCTGAAAATATTTTTTTTTTCCTGCAAATATATTTTATTGCTCTAAATATGTGGCTAATGTGCCGGAAAAAAACATATTTGGCCAGTATAACTTTCTGTGGTTAACTGTCTCCATTTGAGTGTTTTCAATCCCTGTGAGGACTATACAGTTTAGGTATTTAGGGACACATGTAAAAATGTACTACAAGGGTGCCTGGGTGGCTCAGTGGGTTAAGCCGCTGCCTTCAGCTCAGGTCATGATCCCAGGGTCCTGGGATCGAGTCCCGCGTCGGGCTCTCTGCTCAGCAGGGAGCCTGCTTCCCTTCCTCTCTCTCTGCCTGCCTCTCTGCCTACTTGTGATCTCTGTCTGTCAAATAAATAAATAAAATCTTTAAAAAAAAAAAAAAAAAAAATGTACTACAAAACCCAGATGTAAGCTAGTTGAAATGACTTGACCCTAATGATGGATGTTTTCTCTACGGAGAGTCCAAGGTGAACAGGAGGAAACTGAGAAAAAGGAGCTTGTGCCCTTGTGACCAAAGTGGGAAATTTGTTTTTAGTGGTGCTGTTGATTGAAATTACACTTACTTGGGCTTCCTTCTGGTGGAGAGAGTAGAGATGACCTTAGTTTAGTGTTTGGCCCTTCTCCATTATCACTGCTCTTTCCATCAGGATCTTCGTTAACCCTTTGCTCCCCACTGGTTATACAGGTGCAGCAGCAGAGAACATGTTAGGCAGTTTACTGTGCCTGCCAGGTTCAGGGTCGGTGCTTCTTGACCCCTGCACTGGTTCTACCATATCAGAGACAACAAGTGAAGCTTGGAGTGTAGAGGTATTGCCAAGTGATTCAGGTTAGTATGCCATCGTTGTTTGCTTTTTGGTTTGCACAGAAGTTTTAAATATAAGGTATCTTAATTTCTGTACTATGTACATTTTTGTCAAGTGTGACACAACCATCTTACTAAGAATTTCAGGTGGACAGTTAGGGCATTTTCTGTCCATCAAGAAAAAAATGCAGTGTTGGATGGCATAGGCTAAGATGGCAGGTGCTTTTTGACTGTGTGTTCAGTTATTTTTAAGTATTTGGCAGCAACTCACCAGAGTTCTGTGTGGGACACTCAGTTTACTGTGCCTGCCAGGTTCAGGGTCGGTGCTTCTTGACCCCTGCACTGGTTCTACCATATCAGAGACAACAAGTGAAGCTTGGAGTGTAGAGGTATTGCCAAGTGATTCAGGTTAGTATGCCATCGTTGTTTGCTTTTTGGTTTGCACAGAAGTTTTAAATATAAGGTATCTTAATTTCTGTACTATGTACATTTTTGTCAAGTGTGACACAACCATCTTACTAAGAATTTCAGGTGGACAGTTAGGGCATTTTCTGTCCATCAAGAAAAAAATGCAGTGTTGGATGGCATAGGCTAAGATGGCAGGTGCTTTTTGACTGTGTGTTCAGTTATTTTTAAGTATTTGGCAGCAACTCACCAGAGTTCTGTGTGGGACACTCAGTT